CTCAACCACTAAATGAGTAATTCCCCTCCAGGCAAAATTGTAAATTTCCTCATTTTGATATGAACGGCTGAAAAATTGCTACCAACGCCACCGTGATTTCCAGATCACGGACTCGCCGCTCAAGTCCGAGGCCGAGGGGCAACGCTGGGAACAGGGGTCGGCCTTCAAGAAGGAGTGGAACCACGTGACGGACTGACAGGGGTCTCGTGCTCATCGAGAAAGAGATCTTCTGATTCCCGAAATGCAGCGTGGATGCAGACGATGGCGACCATCAGGGCAGATCTTCTGGATCTGTAAAGCCGAGGGTTTCCCTAGGGATAATGAAGTGGGCTGATCACACAATTCCCAGTTTTGGATAATGAAGTGGGCTGACATGCTATTGGGCTTTACAAAGTAGTAGACTTCGATTTACCCAAACAAAACACATATATCGGTTATTCGGTTAACCGAAAAAACCGATAATCAAAACCGACACAAAACCGAAGTACCCGAAATAACCGAACTTTTTGTCATGGAAAACCGAAACCGAAACCGAAACCGATTTAGCGGTTACTTCGGCTTTCGGTTTAACGGTCGGTCCGGTTAATTTGCTCACCCCTACCTGAGAATATCTTCTTAGAATTTTCTGTCTTTTGTAAACTTTGACTTTGCCGTGATATTCTTAACCATTGAAAATTTTTGAGGCCAAAGGTTTTAAACCTAGAACACGGTCAATTTTTTTTCTTCAATTCATATATCTTTCCTATTTAAAAAAAATCACATAAATACTCCAAGAAATTTATGATTTTATATTATTAATACCCTGACATTCAAAAATTTATACCACTACTCCCACAAATTATTTAGTTTCACACCAATACTCCAGGATGCCAACTAAACTGAATACATAACATTTTAAATGATGACGAGATAATTATTAAGTATGAGTTGATAACTAATTACAAAAAAAATATTGTGATTGCATTAAAATTACCCCTCAATTTTGAATTAAACAAAAATGCATTAAAAATGAAAAATAAAGTATTTATATTTAAAGCGTATAAATTATGAATAGTGTTTCAGATAAAATATTAGAGAATTTTAAAGTTAATATGACGCTGAATTTACGTATATTTTAAAAATCTTTCCAACGAATATTTGATTATGAAATATCTACTTCAAATTTTTTTTGTACTCCCTCTGTTCTTAAAATGTTCTTCCCAGTTACTATTCACTCAGTCAAACTTTAATCATTTTTTAACTTATTTTTGTTAGTAATTTGATAAAATATTATAGTCTTGTACCTCTTGTTTTGTAGAACTTTTTAAATAGTTTTTAAATATATAAATTTTATTTTTTTAATTTTATACTTACATCCGAATAAATTGAATTTAAAATAAAGTCGGTCAAACCTCATAAATAGAAACAAGAAGAATGTTTTAGGACGGAGGGAGTATGAAATGTAATATTCTTTTTCTTTATTTTTTATCACTCCGTAGTTACCAACACATACTTAATAACTTGAAGTATCCATTTAAAATACCATGTATTCTGCATAGCTGGAAGCCCGGAGCATTGGTATAAAATCGAGTAATTTCTTGGAGTTGTGGTTGGTGTAATTTCGAATTTTGAAGTACTAGCGTAAAATCACAAATTTTTTAGAGTATGTAAAAGGAAAGCAAATATTTGGAATATATTTTTGTATATATTAGTTTTGGTTATTTCCTTATATTAGTAGTTTACTTGTATAGGGATTTCCTTTCCTTGTTTAGTTGGGATTATCGACTTGTGAGAATCTATATATACGTGCCTTGGTTGTAAATTGTAATCATCAGAAATACAAGAGAAATTTCTCCCATACAATTCTTTCATGGTATCAGAGCCTAAAACCTAAAATTTCCGCAGCCACTGTTCTTGATCGACCGGCATCGCGTCCATCAGTCAAACACCCGCTGCTGCCAGATGCCGGAACGGTCGACCGTTAGTGAAGAACGGTCGAGGTAATCGACCGTCCCGATGACAGTCGTTCTTGATCGCCGCTGCGATTTTGCCCTATTATTGATCTGACATCCGGTATGTCCGAGGAAGTGAACATGAAGATTATTTCCAACAAAAAGAACGAGGAACGAGAAGAAGAGGAAGTTGGGGTGCGTCGCCGACGTATCTCTCCGTACAATCTATCCCCGAGCGACAATCCGGGTATGATTTTGACCCATGTTGTTCTGAAGGGGGATAATTATGATGAATGGTCCAAATCTCTGCGTTTGGCTCTTCGAGCACGTAAGAAGTTTGGAGTTGTTGATGGAACAATCGAGATGCCTAATCCCGATTCGGATGATTTTGATGATTGGTGGACAAACCACTCTTTGTTGGTCTCTTGGATTCAGAACACAATCGATCCAGCCTTGAGATCCAGTATATCGTTTGTGGAGAAGGCTTCAGTTCTGTGGAGTGATCTGAAGGCCCGCTTCTCTGTCGTTAACGGACCTAGGGTTCAGGAGTTGAAGCGGGACTTAGCAGAGTGCAAACAGAAGAACCTTTCCGTGATGGAATACTATGGAAAGATGAAGAAGCTGTGGGATGATCTTGCAGATTTGGAACAGTTCCCACTCTACACGTGTAGGAATTGCACTTGCGACTTGCAGGAGAAGCTGGCCCAGATGCGTGAGAGGGAACATTCTCATCAATTTTTGATGGGATTGAATGATGCTTTGTATGGGACTTTGCGGTCGAACTTGCTTGCCCAAGAAACCATACCACCTGTGGCAAGAATATACAATATTCTTGTCCAAGATGAAACATCACGGAATGGGATGCACAAAGGAGAAAGCAAGGAGGCAGGTGCGTCTGTGTTTCTGTGAAAAACAAGATGGAGGTCAAGGAGCTTGTGTGCTCTCACTGTGGCAAAGGAGGACATGATGTGGAGGCATGCTACAAGCTCATTGGATACCCAGAGGGATGGATATTTCGAGACCAGGCTGGAAGAGGAAGAGGGAACAATCCGCGGTCCAGGAAGAGGAGCGGGACGGTCGACCGTGGGTGCTGCACGGTCGACCGTCACGGGCGGTCGAAGTGAAGTACACGCGGTTCAGGGCAAAGGGCCGACTCCACTGCCCAATTTTGAGGATTTGACGTCTGAACAGTGGAATGCTGTTCGTCATGCTCTCTCACTTTCTTCCGCCGATAATTCTCAAAAACATTCAGGTATTCGTGTATCACCTCATTGGATAATTGATACTAGTGCGTCCAACCATATGACAGGTGATCTATCATTGTTATATGATGTGGTGGGAGTGTCCCCATGTGAAATTGGTTTGCCGGATGGAAAACGGGCTATATCTGTTCAATCTGGAAAGGTTGACTTAACAATGACTATGACTTTACAAAATGTGTTGTTTGTCCCAAGTTTGAATTGTCATTTGATTTCTGTGTCACAACTGACAAAGGATATGAATTGTGAGGCGAAGTTCAACAATGATTTGTGTATCTTACAGGACCTAAGGTTGAGGACAATGATTGGTGTGGGTAGACAAGGAGGACTATATTATCTAAAGAAGGAGGAAAGGAGAATGGCGTGCAGTGCTACGAAAGAGAATTCTTTTGATCTTTGGCATAAGCGTCTAGGACATCCTTCTTCACATGTTTTATCCTTAGTTCCTGTAGTTGGATCGAATAAGAGTAGTCATAGTCATTGTGATGTCTGTTTACGTGCCAAACAAACTCGTACCAGTTTTCCAATTAGCTTTAATCAATCTATGGATAAATTTGATATGGTACATTGTGATTTGTGGGGTCCCTATCGGACGCCGAGCTTTGATGGATCTACGATGTTTTTAACTATTGTGGATGATTTTTCTCGTGGTGTATGGGTGTATTTGCTTGATTCTAA